GCAGTACGCTTTTCCTTGGAGTGATGTCCCAGATAATGCCGGTTTTAATCCTTCTCCTATTTAATCAATTCTGAAGAAAAGATTAAAGAAAAAAATATTATTGCTGTTTCACTTTTTTATTTTGCTTGTCAGCCTGAACCAAAGAGACTGCATAATTTCAACACCAAATTCTGTATTTTGATTTTAATGTCAGTGACAGACGTACATCTTGGTTGCAGAGATTTGAGAGAACGTGACAGCGCCTCAGCTGGAGTACAAGACTTACATTTCAACAGCTTCTCATCGTTTACCACATGACTCACAGATCATTACTGGAAATCAAGATTCCCCTCTTAACTGCCTCTCCAAAGTAAGGACTTGGAAAGAAGCTGTGGAAATGGCAGCTCCAGATGAAGGCCGTTAGAAGCTGTGCTCTCCAGGGAACCCCTGGAGAAAGAGGACACCCCAAATATCTGCATGGTTTTGGGACGTTGCTATGAGTGACACAAAATTACTCTATTTCCTAATCTTATCGAAATAATCAGGAGTAAGTTTCTGGAACTTCTCAACCAGCCTAACAAGTGCTGCGTGCAGAGTAGTCCTCCCCGCTACAAATTTCCTGTCCTCTGTGATACAGGAGAGAGAGAGATACAGGAGAGAGGTGGAGATCCATCAACCCATCACACCACGCAAATGCAAGGGATGCAGAGATGAACAGAGAAAGACCAAGTGAAGACTTGCAGGTGGAGAGGCTGGTAGAGCATCCCATGTCCTAATGTTGGTTTTCTAACCGGAGAGGTCAAGCTCCCAAGAAGATCCCAAACTACCCATTGCAAGGAATCCATCCCATTTCTATCCTTCAGCACGGCTACCAGCCCATGGCAGAAGTGGGATGCTGAGCCAGAGAGTCCTTGGTCTGACATGAAGCAACCGGGCTTACGTTCGGAAGCTGGGACATCCCTTGGGATCTTTGTGCTGCTCAGACACATCTTGGAAATCCCACACAGCAGTGACTGGGCTGGCAGAAAGGTACTGAAGACACCCTGCACTATATAGTGTGGATGAGAGGGACCCACGTACGTGCAGAGAAGTAAACAGAGGGTCTTGAAAGTTCAGCGTAAAGATAAAATTACCGTGAACAGGACCACAAACCAAAGTATTCTTATGAACTCAGAGCAACATTATATCTCCTTTTCTCGTAGAAACAAGCCCTATGGCATTAGTGCTGCGTTGCAGGATTAAAACACCACCAGTTAAGACAACAGATCTCCCTCATGGCAGGGAAGGAGGCTGAAGACATTCATGTCAGCCAGCAATATGTATTCAAAACGGCCACAGCGCAAACAGGCCTCGGAGATCACATCATCGGCATGCAGCAGTGTGGGAGAACACGCCGTGCCACCTCCATCACAGAGACCCGCATAACGGTCAAGAGCTGGCCAGAAAATAATTTCCAGAGCTAGATGGTTTGGGATTTGTTTCCTACACAGGGGGGGAAAGGTGAATCTATCTTAAGCAAGAGGCCTCTTGTGGGCCAGCAGGGCCGGCAGCACGCTGCGCTCCAGAAAGAACCCGCAGAGGATGGGAGAAGGAGCTGCAGGTCTGCTACGGGAGCCCTGGCAAGAGAAGAATTACTTTGGGTTGAGCCAATGCTATTTAACCCTCCGTCCAGGAGGAGTAAATCCAGACACAGCGACAGTCCAATTACAGAAACACCACCGACTTACTCTTTTAATGCCCAGCTCCCTTCAGTACCTGTTAATCAAGTAGGCATTAGCGCGCTTGGACAACGGACCGCGTTTGCTCTGAAATTGCAGTCACTGATGATGGAAAAGCTCTTTCTCTCCTTCCTCCACCTGTTTTGCAAGTCCAAAAGGCCCCTCAGCTCTCATTGCCTTTAAGAGAAGGCTGACTTTCTGAAGCAGTTAAGTGCTATTTTATTAGCTGTTTTAAAAATACATTTTCACAGAAACACAGCAACCGATGAGAACAGACAGTGCCGGAGCGAGAAATCACTTGTAAATAAAATATGGTGACAGACTTCATTTTCTGCGCAATATGCAACCAGCTTTCTGCAAGCAACATACAGATGAAGCCTCCAGCCCTCTCTCCTCCTCTCCTTGCCCGGCAGCTGCCACGCGGTCCACGTTTCAGAGAATACAACTGAAGTGAGCTTCAACAGCAAATAGATAATTTCTCTATTTAAACAGTGAATCAAAATTATAAAAGAACGCATACGTTTTACTTTTTTTTCTAATGGGTGATTAATATGTATTTTTACTGAACTATTCTAACTATAATTACCAGACTAAGTTATAGACACCTCTGACTGGGCTGCAGATATTTTCTAGCAATTAGAACACCATTCTTTTTACGAAGGAACTCGAACTCCTCTAACTAACTAACTCGAACTCCCTACAACTTCCTCCAGAGGGGCAGTGGCAGGAGAGGTGATGATCTCCTCTCTCTGGGGACCAGCAACAGGACACGAGGCAATGGAACGAAGCAGTGTCAGGGGAAGTTCAGACTGGATATTAGGAAAAAGTTCTTCACCAAGAGGGTGGTCAATCCCTGGAACAAGCTCCCCCGGCACCAAGCCTGTCAGCGTTCAAGGAGCATTTGTATGACACTTAGTCATATGGTTTAGTTTTAGGTAGTCCTGCAAGGAGCAGGGAGTTGGACTTGATGATTCTTATGGGTCCCTTCCAACTCAAGATATGCTACGGTTCTATGACAAATTAAATGCTTTGGGAAAGTGCTCTCAAAGCCTGGTGGTGCTTTTGGTAGAGCCAGTGAGATGGGTAGGAGCCATCTCAGCAGACCTGCTGGGCACGACCCTCCTGAGGAACTCAATAACAGGAAGCCCGTTGGGTTTCTTGTTTTCCAGGTTATCATTGATCAGGTTTGAGTTCAATAAGCCAGACCAGACTACAACTGAACTCTTCCCATCACTTCTGAGCAGAGCTGAAAAGCACCTCTCCCTCCTGCCTCCCACCCCCGGATCCAATCTCACGCTCCCCTTCTGATTATCCTGCTTTAGTGCTCAATGTGCCACCTGCCTTTCTCAATATTTAGTGGCCTTCAGGTATTTCATGTGATCTACAGCTGTCTTGTCCAGATACATGCTTAATGTTTGGGTTATTTAAGCAACATGGTGAGAAAACCAGTATTGAACTGTCAAGTTTAAGCTGCACTTTCTTCATTCTGTTTTATTTATTCGATGGAAAAAAATAATCAGGAACCACTGGATTCCTGCAAGGTAATGTTCACTAGTAGGAGAGTAAATGTGTGAACACGTTTAAAAGCCCAAGAACAAGAGGAAAAAAACCCTTCCCTCCTACACAGCCCTCCAAAATAAGGCTGGCTGCTACTCTAACACAAGGTGGTCCCTTTTCTTTTATTGTCACAACAAAGAAATTAAACCAAAGCAAGAAAAAATTCTCTTACTTCTGCCTGTGGGAGGACATGAAATAAATTTTGCGCCCTGCGTACTTGATTAGGTTCACCACCGGCACAGCCATTAAGCCAAGGGCACAAGTGTTTTCTAAACCATGTAATGTGATACTATAGGTTTGTGAGTTTGTCGTCATCTGCAGAGACTGGGATTAAGAGCCCTTGTTACACAAGTCAAAATACCTTTGATAATTTCAGCACAGGCAAGACTAATATAAGAAAGGAACAGCAAAAGTCTTAAGAGTCAGTTCTGAGACTCAGTCAAACAAAAAAGCAGGCTAAAATCATAAAACAAATTCCCTGGATTGAAGTAGCGTGTTTGTTTTCACGACATGAAGGTCACATACACATCTTCCCCCAGCACGTCCATTTGACAACAAACAAGACCTTGAACATTGCTTCTCCCCTGTAATAGATCCTCCGAAATGCCGTGCTCAGTAAATGAAGAGCTGCCTCTTTCATTTGTCCCTGTTACAGCATGCACGAACACGGCGGGGGGGGGGGAAGCACCTGTTGCTTTTACAAAACACCAGTGAATTACCCAGCTGAGTCTCTGAGCAGCCCAGTGCAATTAGCAATGGGGGTCTACTGTAAACTGGGAAGAGTCCAGCTCTAATTCCTGTAATCACGTCATTATGAAATCACATCATTACTTACATGAGAAGATGGTCAAGTTTTCTCTCTCTCTCTTTTTTTTTTTTTTTAAGTCTGAAACTATAACATCTCAAGTTCATTTGGACAGTGGCATATTACTAATTACCCCACGTTTTCTAACGGGGCTAAAAAAAATAACTGGAATTTCTGTTGACTTTCCTGTTTGTGATGCAGCACCTTCCAAGCGGCTACAGAAGCTCTGCAAATGAGGTTTTGAGCTTGCTTTCCCCACGAAGAAAGTCTAGAAATGCCGTTTGACATTACCAAAGGCTTCAGTTTCAGTGTTTCTTGCCAACAAAGCAAACTTTTAAGCGCCAGCACTTCAAGTGTAGAAAGACACTGCTGGAACAGATTAGCAGCTCACAGAAATATCACAAACGCAAGTCAAGTGCAGGAGGGTGAAAAGACAGAAGGTATCTAATGATACTTGTTGAAATGTAAATGGCTTAACTTCTCTCCTCATTGGATTACATCACGCACAGGCCTGAGCTTACCCAAGTGAAAATACAGCTGGAGGAGAGATTTTGAACCATCTTGTAACCAGTGAGGAGCTGGAAAGCAATATTCATCCAAACACAAGAATATCCTATGAACACAGCTCAAGAACACATCTCCATTTACAATTTTGAACAGCAGGTCAAATGACTCATTAAAAGATTTGACACATTTTAAAATGAAAAATAAATCTTCAGAACTCATCGATCTGCTAATCTTTCTGAACCTTTAAGCAAAATCAAAACCAGATGAAGCAATAGCAATTATTCACTCAGCTCAAGTTTCAAGCAATCAAGAATTCCTTTTAGTGAAATGTATGTACACAACAATAGCAAACTAACTAAGCTTGTAAACCTTCACAATTCAAAAAAAACCACAACAACTAATTGCAGATAAAAAAAAAAGCCCGCTGTACTTACTGGAAAGGACCGTCGTGAGGAAGATGTAGTCGGAAAAGGAAATGAGTCCACATTCTCCAAGGGCATAAAATATGCTGTCTTCATCAGCAAACTTCTCTCGCTCCTGGGATAATTTCTATTTATTCATCCGACCCACACCCCAAAAAGAGAAAATAAAGCAATCAATTAAATAGGGAAACGGAAGACTTTGTGTCTTTATCACCAATAAGCCATTCCACATACACACACCCCTACTATCTCTATTCAGTGGACCTTTTCCAGCCTTCAAATCTGTCAGAAATGCTCTGCAAAGATCAGTGCTTCCCCATCTCAAATGAGAGATAAGGAATTGCACAATATTAATTAGTTGGTTTAGCCTAGCTGAAACACAGTTACATAAAATTACATCCGTTTTGCTTAAAATTGTCTGAATCTTTGACCGATTAGCATTAGGAAAATCAGATTTTTTAATCTAGGATTCCAAAAGGGAATTATTATATTTCACTAATAGCGTTTTAGTTATACTCTGTTGTAGCAGTAGCCAAGAAAGAATTATTGTACATGAATATGAAGTATGATCCAAGTTATCAAAAAATCGTAGTTATCAGAAGCACGGGATTCTGGAGTGTGTTTAGCAAGCTCACTAAGAGGGCCGGGACTGATACCAATCTTAATCCCTCTCTCTTGCTCCAGTTCTTTTTCAACATCTTGTTTTAATAGAAAATACCACATGTGTTTTATCAGCTCATCTCCCTTGCTAAGCTAAAAATCTGAGTCCCTTTGATCCGCAGAACCTTCAAAGACTGAAAAGGATCCATAAAACTGTTAGGAAACCCACACTGGTGACCCATTTTAAGAACACAGCAGGAAGAGGCACACGCACACACGAAGGAAAAATGAAATTAATATAAAGGAGAGTAGGCGTGGATGAGGTTATTCCACAGAAACCAGGTCATGCAAGCACAGAAGCATGGTGAAAGCAAGGCTGAATTTAGGAACGGTTTTTAGGAAGAAAAAAACACCGACAAACACCACCACACGAGGGTCCAGCTACACAACTGTCCCCCACCGTTACCTCTGTCTAGCGGAGATCCCATCATATACAAGATAAAGGAAAGAAAACTGGTTAACCGACAATAAAATAAGCAGGCAAAACGTAACATCAAGTTGAACGGTTAGACTTGCAAAGAGCAAGAAAGTTTTGAAGCAACCAGGTGGTTGCTTTGACTGGGCGCCGCTAAGAAGCCTAAGTAGACATCCCAGCAAGAGTTAGCACGTAGCCTCTCCGGGTCAGACCCACGGTCTGCAGCTGATGTCTCTCATCCACCTCAGGTTTTATTTTTGAGAGAACTCACCATTGCATGTGATTGTAGAGTGGGGATGAGTTCAGCTAATAATTTAGATGAAAATTTAACCCGTATCTGGCTCGGAAACCACAAGAAAAGAGACAAAAATAATCATATAGATCACCAAAAAAATACAGTTTTCAGGGGGAAAAAAGTTCAGCTCTATTGATCAAATAAAACTCTTCCCAGTGGCTCTGTCTTTACCATCTGGAGAGCATCAGGAATTTAATAAGAGGTGAATCACTAACAGCAGACAACATGCTAATGGCATTCATTTCATGCAAGATAACTGCTATTTGTGCTTACGGGATACCAGGTTGAAGTATCATTTACTGAAAAAAAATAAATGTTTTTGCTTCCCTTCCCATCGTGATGGATTCAAAGCAAAATTACACTGATGCTTACGTTAAGAACAAATAAACAATGTCTGGTTTTCCTTTAAAGTGAAGGCAGGAGTTGTGGAGAAAGCAGTTTTCTGCGATTGCTGCCAGCGGCGTTGCCAGCAGCATCTCACCTGCTCGTGTGATTTATTGCCTCTTCCTCCAACTGCCTGTCTTGAGCAGCGTTTATCATAACCTAGCTATTAGCATCCGACTTCACCCGCTCGAAGGATCCCATGCAAAAGTTCCAGAGGTTGGTTTATTAATTTTTATGCCTTTCTTTTCCGCACTTAAAATTCATAGTCAGCATCAAACATCTCAAAATATTCCTCATAAGCTGAAAACCACATCCATAGACTAACAATAAAAAAAGATATTAAGTTAGTTGCTCTCTGAAATACAAAGGTTTAAATAGATGGGAGGGAGAAGCATTTACTCATTTTCATCTTTCTTTGAGCAAACAAAGTAAAATTTTTTATTTTTTTTTATTTTAAACACGCACCTACTTGTCAGAAACCTGGGGAAGGGGAACATACACCGTGACTGTGGTGCTCAGCCCATCTGCAGCTGATGGGAAAGAGAATTTCTCCCACTGATCTTAATAGGAGAAAATGACAACTGACCCGATCCGTAAGATTTTCAGGCTCACAGCACTGAGGAGGACAGAAGTTGAAAAAAAAAAAATTCACAGCTCTCCCATTTATTTTCTTCTGGGGCACTGAGAAGCTGCGTGTTCGATGGCTTTCCACAAAGTATGTGGGAAGCTCGCCCCGCTACAGGAAAGGCTGAAAGCATCCTTCTCAGGGGTTGTTCCCCACTATTAAACACTGTACTCTACAGAATTATATTACAACCCCCAGAAAAAAAGTATATAAAAAAATAATCAATCTACCTACTTTACAAAGCACAACCTGGACTGTTGGGATGCCTCAAAGTACAAGGTGGACAAACCCCAAGTCAGTCCACACTGACACCTAAACCCACTGCCTATAGACGTCGAGCTGCTTTTCCACATCCTGCTATCATTCCAGCATACTCTGCCATCCCTTCTAGCCAGAAAGGTAATGCACGGGATCGGAAAACGTAGGGAAAATTCTCTTTCCAAGCCTCTATCCTGTTTTAGAAGGACATGTCATTTACCCACACAATTTCAGGACAACTTTCACATTTCACACCCTTCTGTATCTGAGCACAAGCTAATTCTCAAAGTGCTCAGTTAAAACAGTCAAATGTCCTCCATTGAAGATTTTTTTCTCTGTGTTAAGTCCATTCCCAAAACCAGAGTAAGATCACTCAGCACGCCAAAAGAACATTCAGAACCGAGCATACACGAGTGAGCAAGCCACAGGAAACAGTTTACAAGTATGATGTATTTTTTAATCAAGCAGTAGATTCATATTAAACAAGCGTACAAACGAGCAAACATCCAAATTAACGTGTAAAAAGAAAAAGCAATCCAAATGTCCCAATGCTTTCAGCACAAGCATGGCTATGTATGTTCAGTGAAGAGCTGCCAGTCCAGTTTGGGCAGAATATAACTTTTTACAGGCATTCAGGCAGATTATTTTACAATACCAGACATCGACAACAGGTCAAAAAAAAAATAATAATAATGTAACTGCATTTCAAAATACAAAGCTTGGTTTGCCATTTCTAACTCGGGCTCCAAGCCCAACAAACGGCACCAGAACATGGGTTCAACGTATCAATAACAGCGACCAACCTCCCCCAAATCCCTGTGCTGTAGAAAACCCAGTTGCGTGCCGTATGACTCGGGTTACAGGCTGGCTGCAAACAAGCAAAGCGCCCAAAGATGTATCACCAACTTCACACGTTCTACCCCAAAACTGATCTACTGCTGGTGCCTCCATGGAGCCAAATACACAGTACAGCTCCCAGGTAATAAAGGATTTGGGGGAAAAAAAACCCACCCTGATTCCTTCCATTCCTTGCCAAATGTTACCTTTACTTTGAATTTTAGAATTGATTTCCCAGGGCTGAGTGAAGAGTGAAACATGTTAATACTTAATTACGCGAATCTGAAAGAAAAGATGTATTTTTCGCAAGTTAAAGGATGCCTTCTCTGAAAAGACAGAGGCGGACAGAAGGTGCAGTGCTGGTGTTTGCTCTGCATTCCCAACGCACAACTAGAAAAGCCTTATCAGCTAAATCCTTGCAGCTCTGCTCCATTTTGCATTTCAGAGACTACTTAATGAGCAGCATTTAATTTCCCACTTTGGGAAGAACACATTCTTGGTAAGTCACTTAGAGGTGACAGCTTGGGCTTCAATCTGGAGGAGAAAACACACTTTCGGCACGTTTATTCACGTAACTTCTGTTTCAACATCACCTTTACACTTGTATGAACCAAAGCTTCAGGAATTTATCAGCCTTTTGTGACCACTCAACAGTGACTTATGCCTTCCAAAACGACACCAAAATAAATACCAAAGTGCATGCAACATAATGAGTGTTTCTCCAGAAACCAGAAAGTAATTTTGTAAGTCAGTACGGAATTTTAGATGAAGCATATTTTATTGACAAATGCCATCATACTCGGTTTGCTCCTTTTTAAAAGAAATACTTTGAGATTACCAATATTGTGTAAGCAAATACAAAGCCACGAGTGTTTCAGTGAAGTCACCTTGCTGCAAAGCAATTCTCTTTCAGTCCCAGCTGACCACCTTCAGTTATGCAAGCCAATTTAAAGACACCTATTAACGTATTTCTTTTATGGTTAGCTGTAGGCATATAGGAAAAGAAGTTAAAATGCTGTATGTACAGTGTTAAAAAGAAATATTCTCTTTTCCACAGTATGTGCATCAAAAAAATAAATAAATATCTGTGCTACGAGTTCACCTAATAGAGACAAGTTCTTTCCTTGCTTCTGAGTTTTCTGGCTTTATAAGGTAAAGATGACCCTCCATATTATTGCAATTTTGGGATACGTGTCTCTACAAATGAAATCTCTCTAACAGGAGGAAAAGAGTCCCACGTTAGTACTTGTGTACATAACATTAAGCAGGATGCATAGACATGATGTGCTATTAGTCCTGCTCACACGTGGCTTGATACCTTGGGCTTAAATCAGTAGGCAGTGCCCCTATAAATAAGAGAAATATTAGGAAACCTTCTAAGGATGGGAAAACAAATCTGTCATAAAATTTATTGGATAATCTGTTTAATTAATGCATTTTAAACTCTTTAGCACCTACCAGGCGTATTGTTTGACATCTTTAAAAATATTAGCTAGCATCTGCCATCTCATTAGCACTACACAACATTTAAATACGCAGAGACGCGGCTCCTATTCGCCGGGTCCAGCAGAGCCTGCAGGGCAGCATCGTGCTGGCACAGACTACTACAGCTCCTTCCCAAGCAGGACTGTTTAAAATCTGAGGAAATATATATCGAGACACTCGCTGACTAATGTGCTTGCAGCAGATGCTCTGTATTAGTCTATCACACAAGAGAGATAAGGGAAAACCCTTAAGAAACACCAGTGAAAACTGCAGGCAATGCAGCCTGCTACGGTAACTAAAAATATTAATGCTTTGAAGTCTGTCTTCATCAAAATGCTGAACTGGAGACTCTGAAATGAGGGCGATTTTTAATTTTTTCTCTTTTTTCTTTTTTTTTTGTTTTGTTTTGTTTTTTAAGAGATAAACTTTAAAGAACCAAAGCCATGTATTTAGAGATTCCACAACAATACATGTTGGCACCTCACTACCTACATTAAGAAAACTGAAATAAAGATATAAAAAGGTTTTCAGAATCAGACTGCAACACTGAGCCTTTCAGCCCAGATGTTCAAAAGCCCTTTAGGGAAAAAGAGGTAGGGGAGGTCCCTCTGTACTAATCAACAAAGATTAAAAAAAAGGAGTTGGGGGACAATTGAGGGATTTCAAGTTTTTAAAGGTAGCTTTATAATGTGGATGCAAAATAAGTACTTTTAGATGCGCCGCCTAGGATTTTTTTTATATCACTTTTTATATATCACTAAATAAGAAAAAAAAGTGGTTTAAGGTTGTGATGGAAACAGCACAGGGACTTTTTGTAACTCTTAAACCTCTTTTTACAGTGGAAGCATTCACAGTATCATTCCTAGTGGCTCTAGATAATTTACTAAGAAGTCTACATACTAACACAGGCAAACACAAACAGATTCTGCGTGGCAAATCATGGTGGGTGAGTGTTGGCATATAGGAAAATACTTAAAACTTACTGTTGGCAGATAAATACTGCAGCTTATGACCTTTCAAGAGTATATTTTAATGAATAGTTTAAAACCTTTAATTTGTGGGTTATTTTATCTCTATATATACACAGGGAGAGAAAAATATAGAGCTGGACAT